ATCAATATTCCCGTCCAGTGGCGTAGCACGGAAAACTATTTCTTTTTTTTTATTTCCCTTCTAAACTACTCGCGACTTCTAAACCAATACTCAACGAACGGTTGGAGATAAACTCGTAGTCTATTCAATTCAAAGCCGAGCCGAGGGAAACGGAGAACTGCGATTTGCAAATCTATTGTAACTTCTTAGTTTACAGTTACATCAGACAAGAATATTGAACGTTCGTTCATCCGATGTATTACTTAAATTGTTTCTAATTGAGCAAATTCGATTTTAACTTGAAATTCCGTTTCCAAGAAGTTCTCGCGAAAAGGAAATAGTAATTTTGATTAATAGCAGCTTGCTGTCTCATTAAGCGCGCTGCGTACCTAAGGTACGAAATTTTTCACAGGAGGACTCGACCTCCGGCATTAATATTTTCAATTAAAAATGCCCAGCTGCAGAAATTTTAATTGCACCTCCTCGAGATCAGCCGCGCTGCTTCCCATATTTTGTCCTATTACAAATTAACTTTGACTATTACATTAGCCAAATTGAGAATTAATGCATAAGAATGTATCGCGGTTGAAGAAAATGAAACAATTTCCGTTTGCAATAGAAAACAGTATTTAATTATTTGAGTAGTTTCAACTGGAGGTCCTTCATTAATTTTCGGTTTCAGCTTCGCGTATTTCACGCGTGTTCACGATATTTAATTGTAGTGGCCGCGTGCGCCGCGCATCGACAACAAGCGAAATTCCCTCGCACCGCACTGTGCAATTAATTTTCCCGATCAACACTCCGCACGCGAACCGAATATGTCTCTCAGTGTATAAATACCAGACGCGTGGAATTTCCGTTTCAAACTGACCCCCGTCCAATGCAGGACCAAAGGAAACCCACTTCAAGTATTTAACTACCCCTATAGTTACAGTATGTGCAACTATTTAAATAATTGTATTGGAAAATGATTAAAGAAACATTATAAGAACGGAAGCGAAAACAAATCAAATAAAATTGAATGAACTTTAAATAAATTACCAAAGAAAGTCCGCTCCAAGTATTTAACTAACTTCTATAATTACAATACGTGTGATTACTTAAATAATTTTATTAGAAAACCATCGAGGAAACATTATAGAAATATAAGCAGAAATAAATCAATTAAAATTAAATGAAATGTGAATAAACTATCAAAGGAAACTAATTTCGAGTATGTAACTAATAATCTCTATAATTACAGTACGACTATTACAATAATTTTATCCCAAATTGACCAAGGAAACATTATCGGAAGGAAAATCAACTAAAGTTGAATGAAACGTGAAGAAACTACCAAAGGATACTCACTTCGAATATATAACTAGTCTCTATAGTTACAGCGCGACTATTACAATAATTTTATCCCAAATTGACCAAGGAAACTTTATGGGAACATAAGTAGAAATAAATCAAATAAAATTGAATGGAACGTGAATAAACTACTATCGTACTCGTTTAAATACAAAACATTTTATATTCGGGGAGTATTATTCTTGGAAACGTTCAAGTAGAAGGTACACATGCGTCTCTGTTTGAACGAGTGAAACACCGATAAGCATCGGCGAGGAATAAAACTGTTTCTATTTCTGTAAATCATTGAAACCGATTTGATCCTGTATACTGCACATCTTCCGTGATTCGAAAAAGGAGAAGTAAGAAATCGCACAATGGGACGGCGGTGTTCACGGTACCAAGACGGGGTTGAAATTGATTTCCGCGGCGCAATCGGATAAATCGGACGTCTGTGGCCAGGCCGGAATAACCCGCGACACACGTACAGGGTGAGTCCATATGAAGTAACGCAATATTCACTAATTCTATTAGAAAAAATCTTGACAAAATCAATCAAATATCGTTCAAATCCAAATATGCATTCATTCTATGAGGTCTGACAAATTCAAAATTTCTATAAAACCAGATTTCATAAAATCGTTCGAATCTCCTATTTTATATGATTACTCTTATTGACGAAAGCTAATGATTTTCAAATTCTATCTTCGTTAGAATGCCATAATCGAGTGAGCACCAGCAAACGAAATTCCTATGAAAGCTGCTTTATAGAAGTGAAAGAACGATCTGATATTTGATGTCTGATAAGTTAATTTTTATCGATTCACCCTGTATATTCGATGGAACAAGGTGCATACGGTCGAGGAGTATGTCTCGATGGAAAATAGAAAGCTCAGTTACAGGCCGGGGTGAAACGATCTAGAAAACTGGCAGTCACGCGCGATAAGGAGGGAAATCGTCGCTACGTGACCATCCACTAACCCCGCTTCCAATCGTCCACAAAAATTATTATAATCTTCGCGAGCACTTCCGCGAAAAATGAAATAAAAGACGTTCGACCCGTATTTATTTTCATTCAAAAAGAATGCGAGCTAAACGAATTTGTATGGAACGTTTCCACCTTTTAAATAGTTTGATGGCAAATAATTAACAGGTACAAAGTTGTATAGATTCTATCAATTTCTACTATTAAACTTAAACTTAAATCCTAATTTTATATTCCATTTGCACGTTTAATCTCGTTAAAAATAATGCATAAAAATATGTTCTATGTCAAGAGCATTGCATATTGTAGTGTAAGTGATAGGACGTATCATTTTAAATGATATCATAATGACATGATGCTGCAGTTTACTAATAAATATGTAAACATGCTCATTAAATGTCACAGTAAATCATTTTACATAGTTGAGTAGCAAACGTTTGATAAAAATAATATCGTGCTTTAGTTACTTTCTGTTCTATATACATTTTGTAAATATTTCTATCATTTAAATGCGCAATTCATACTCTCTGCACATTTAGACTCGTTAAAAATGTAAAGATTATGTAATGCATAAAAATATATTCAATATGAAGAGCATTGGATGGTGCAGCATAGAAAAGAACGTGTCATTTGAAATGTTACCATGAAGACATGATGCTGCAGCCTAGTAATAAATACGTAAACATGCTCATTAAATAGCACGGTAAATAAAATAGTAAAGAAGACGGCACAAAAGAATGAGACACGCGAAACATGATAATGTTGCCGCAACGCGAACGGAAAATATCGAATATCGATTTAACTGGAGCCTCGGAACCTTGGCATTGAATCCTCTGGCACGGCTGCCTCTTTTACCGTCGTTCTCTGTATCTCCTCTTTATTTTCCGGTACGCTTTTCATGCGTTCCGCTTTTTCTTTCCCTTTTCATACGCGGCATTGTTAGACTAGGCGGTCTGAAACTACTTTTCACCCCGGGGGCTGCGATCCACCCCCGCAATATCTGCCTATATTTCGTCGTTACGCCATTGTGGTCCTTGCTACAACACGCGAGAAACCCATGACAAAATTTCCCTGTTCCGGATTTTTCAGCTCAAAATAAAAAAACAACTGCTTACACTCATAGCGATAAACAAATTGCTTCGAGTCATTATTTAAAAGATCTCATTTGCCTGAATGCGGAACGGCTCATGAATTTTCGATCTTGTTACGAGAAAAACACATTGCTCTGCCTCTGACAACAACTATATATTTTTTTATGCTGTTACGACAAAATCGACACCAAGAATATTTTAAAGTTGCAAGAGCGATACACGGATTGATACGAAATGAAATGTGATAAGACTGAACTTGAGACACGAAACCGTGAATCCGAAATGCCTGTTCGATACGCGGGTCTCGTGCAAGTTTGATCCGCGATTCGAGAGATAAGTAACAGACGAGCTGAGGAGTTCCCTGATAGAACCGTAGCAGCTGCCAGATTGCTTGCTAAAACTTTCAGCGTGGCCCCATGGAACGAAATCTCTTTGTTTTCGGGAAATGATTCCGACTACGAGAACACAGTAACGAAATAAAATCCTCTGCGAGTTCTCTACCCCTCGTCACACTGTGTACATTCCGGTCTCGTCTATCCACCCACACACGCTTTCAAATATCAGACAAAAACGAATAATCCGTTCGCATAAAATACTTCTAATTCAAAACAAAATTGCACTAATACACTGGCGATCGTAAAGCTTGAGATATTTATTGAGGCAAATGAAATAGTATATCAAATGTCAAATATGTAAAACTTGGTTTCATTATAGTATTACTCGTTTGAAATGATTATTCGCGTATCCTACGACTTTACCCGTTACTCTTTTCGCGTAGGAACGAGCGTGTTTTCAGGCCGGCGACCATTGTTCAGCGTACACACAAGGGAATCCGTTCCGACGAACTTTTCTTTCGTCTCCCGCCGCTATCGATGAATTAAAAGTTCGCAACCTTCCTCGCGACGCATTATCGCAATGGAATCAACGCGATGGCGTACCGCCAACAACGAGATTAAATTCGTGAAATATTTAAACGCCGGGTTTATCGCCGCTAATACACCGGCCACGTTAGCTTATTGTACTCGAGAGACGTTTCCACCTTTCTCTATGCTTATCCCGTTTCTCAAATGCTTTTTCCCCTGACCTTATTAATCTTTCAATTCATTGCTAAACCGTTTCAACTTACTCGACGAACCTTAAAAAACTTCAGATTTTATGCTTTTACAGAAAAATTCAATAAACGTAATAAAATAAATTTTAATTCTTATAAACGTTTTCGTGGAACAGCAATGAAACTGTTGCACTGTTAACACTAAATCATGCACTGATTAAATGACTGTTCTTAAATTCTTCTATACAAAATAAAAAGGGCACAAAATTTATTTCGTTATATTATTAAAGTTGTAATTATTATTTAATCTAAATCGAACTCAAATGCAGAAAATATAAATACAGTATATTGATGTAAAAACGCTGCCGGTAGGTTTCGTGTTAATAATGCAAGACAGGAGAAAATCACGGCATATTCGCAACAAAGCTTAGCATAATCCTCTACATAATTTAAGGATTATCGTAATGTGTTCGTTTACGAGAAAATCCTGCCGTTTCGCTTAACTCGCTTAACTAAAGTCGATTCATCGGATTATCTACGAATTCATCTGTGTCTGACTCACCGTATCGGGATCCAAGGCCGCGTCACTTTTGCTGCGTTTGGTAGAACCGCGCTTCATGGATAGAGAAGGACATCAGTCCGCTCCAGGATATTCTGGCCGAGCCAGTCTGCAACAAATGCGAGGACGCTGATTAGTTATAATCAGAAAGGAAATTAATCCAAGGCAAGGATAATTAAAAACGATCGAATCGTTGCTTGGAATAATTGAAAGAAGGGAGATTAAATGTTTGATTTATAATTACTATTTTTTAATTATTCAAAACATGAGCAAATATCATGCAAAATTATATACAAAAGCGAACATCCTTTCATTCTTTATAAAGAAACAAGCAAAAAATATAGAACAGCTTTTTCTGATTTTCGGTTTAGGTCTCGAGAAGCTCAAGTTTGGAAATCAGCTGGATTCATGTGCTATTACGGCAATATTATTGTTTATCGAGCAACATATAACGCAATAGTTGAGAACAATGCTGTACAATCCAAACATTTAGTTTTCATTATCACAGCGATGAGTTATACTAATTTCAGCAGTTCTTGACAAAATAACGTCCATTAAAAATTTACTTCGTAATTTTATTTTAAGCTAGTAGCATTTAAGTACCGTTAGACACTATTTATAAATACAGTACGCGATTAAGTCGACAAAAGAACGTTGACGTAAGAGCATAGAAACACACCGGATATTCAAACTTGATTTTCTTGAAAACTAATATAAGTTGAAAATCAACTTTCATTCTGTACTTGTATTTTATTTTTCTACAAAAAATCACATCATGTCTGCTCGTACATGTTATTCGGCCGGACCCCCGTACATGTACACATACAGCAAAGTAAGCAATTAACTAATAAACGATTCTCGTTGCAAATGCCAATGTAATATAGAATAATTTTAAGAGATTAATCTACTGAAGTCGGAGAATAAAGTTTCTGGCCTTCCGAGTTGTTTGGTCAATTTGGTACGACGCTTTTGCGAAAACAAAATCGCTTCTTAATCTTTAAACCGCTAGAAAGCCGAAATAACGGCTCAAGAATTCACAAGTACTTTATATGGCATATATTCTTCATATAATAACATTATATGCAACTAATACCAGTTGCTTAAAGATGAAAGACGATTTTCACTAACATAGAATAAATTTGGACTCCAAAATGCGTATGCAACAAAGACGAAAGTATTTTCGTTGCAAACGTCAATTTAATATGAAATAACTTTGAAGACTAACCTATTGAAGTCGAAGAATGCAGTTACTGTAACTTTTGGCTGCAACATCCGACGCAGAGTAACGTCCTACAACCTCGAGTTCCTCCTCGGGGAGAAACATCGCGAGACGTGCTCAGAATTCGTCTTCGCTACTTTCCATCGAGTAGACTCTGCACATTCCCAAACGGTTGTTCTATTTACCACAGCGTGACCGTTTTCGAAATTTACAGCTCCAATTCCTGGAGCTTATTGTTAGATAAACATTCCCTCACTACGCGCACTACAGATTCGCAAGCAAACGCTTCTTATTGGAAGTAACACTATGCTCTAAGGCGCGATAGATAAATCGAATCGATATGTCCTAACTCGAACTACACTATTAATTATTTAAAATTTTATGAAATATAATGTTAAGATTGGGAATGTCAATCGTTTTGTAATTGAATAATTATTGTAAGATGAAGATATGTAAAGAGATAATAAAATCGATGAATAGTGCTGTCAAACTATAAAAATCGATTGCACAGAAAAATACGGGAGCAATAATTCAATAATCCGGGCAAATTGATGCACTATGAATATAGTAAAGTTTTAGTTTCTTTAATTCGTACTTTCCAATATGTCCGGTAAACTGTTTTGTAAGTGACACGATGAATGATACGTAAACAAGAATATTATGGTGTAAATAATACGCTCTGAACACGTGTGAAACTCACTGGGGCGACTGGACAGTGGGATGTCAGGTCACATGATCGTATAAGTCATAAGTAGTGACATCTGTTCAAGAAAGTTGAGAGCTTCGTTGTAATGTCGACTTCGACAATATTATTGGATTTTGATGTCTAATTTGTATATATTTTCATTTTCTATTCGTGTGATAAAAATATTCGGATCATCGTATGAACTGCTGTTTATATAATGCAGGTCTTCACCAATTAGTGCGCGATTATTAATATCTTTGAATGCACAAGAAAGAAAATGATGATTGTACGAAAATACAATTTTATTGATTAAATGCACATGTGTAAGAACAAGATACACCGGCGAACGAATAAGTTTAGGCAACAAGAGCACATTAGAAGGCATTGATTAATTCTAAACTTATCCTACCCCGCTCAATGTCCACCGAAAGTACCTTCACTTCCACGCGCTGGCTTATCGAAACCGTAGTATTCTTCAACCACTTTGTGGGTATTAGTCCATCCCTACCACATCCTATATCCACGAATGCCCCGAAATGCGTGACATTTCGCACTGCACCCGTTAACGACGTTCCAACAACCACGTCGTTAATGCTAAACATACTTTTTCGAAACAGAGGATCACGCGTCTTTAACCGTATGTCTTCGTCTTTCTTCATGGATAAACCCTTAACGATCACCTCCATCGTCGTCTCATCCGTACCAAATTTATCAGCTAGAACAGCACACCCTTCCCCAGCGCGCAATTTTATTTTCTCAATAAAATCTGTTGTTCCCATATCTTTTATATTACAATCGCAATATTGTAAAAATTGTTCAGCTATCTTATACGACTCGGGATGAATCCATGTTTGATCTAATAAATTATATGTATTTTTAGATGCTTTTTTAGTAGGTTTCTCGGCAGTTTTTTGTGTTGATTTATCTGACACTGATGTTTCTGGGAGAATCCTGATAAATCCAGCACATTGTTCGAATATTTTGTTTCCAATTCCCTTTACAGATAACAGCTGTTGCCTGTTTTTAAAGGGGCCGCATTCGGTTCTCCATTCTATGATACTGTTCGCCCTAGTTGCATTTAAACCTGCGACTCTTCTCAATAGGCATTGAGACGCTGTGTTTGCATCCACTCCTACGAAACTCACAGCCTCCGAGATCACCTGTAATCATTACAATACGTCGTATTTTATCTTCTTTATATGTATCAATGTATGTAATTACCTCGTTTAACGCGATTGACAATTGCTTCTCCGGGAGGTCGTGCTGGTACATGCCCACGCCCAAGTGTTTCGGTTCCACTTTCACTAATTCCGCGAGTGGATCTTGCAAACGTCTCGCTATGGAAATGGCAGAGATCAGATTGGTGTCCAAATTTGGGAACTCGGATTTCGCTTCCGGGCTGCAACTATAAATCGAAGCTCCTGCTTCGTCGACGATCGTGTAAGAAATGTCCAATGAACCAAAAGCATTCGATTTGATCAATTTGTTTATGAACATCTCAGTCTCTCTACAAGCTGTAGCGTTGCCCAACGCTAAGATCGTGGATTTATGTTTCCTCACTAAATTTATCAAAACGTTGCCAGCTTCGTCGTAAGATTTCTCAAACTTCTTATGTGGATAAATTACTCCTGTTTCGAGGACGTCTCCTTGTTCAGAGATCACAGCCAGCTTGCAGCCGTGAGAGAAGCCCGGATCTATGCCGAGTATGATCTTCCCTCGTACAGGCGGACTCAGAAGCAATTGTTTCACATTAGTTACAAATACTTCGATCGACGCTGTCTCCGCTTTCTGCTTCATCTCATTTCTCACTCTGCGCACAACCAACGGCTTAATAAATTTTGTGTAGACATACTCAATACTGTCGTTCAATAGCGTAAAGTGCATTTTCGATGCTTGCATGGGCGCATTGTACAGTCCGCGGCAACAAAACGATTTGAAAGCTCTTTCAAAAAAATCGGGTAAAGTAATTTTCACTCCAAGGATCTTCTGCGCTTCCCCTCTATTAATTGCTAATATTTGATGAGGCTTGATGTGCTTAGTGTTTGTATTAAAATCATAATACATTTCATATTTCCTATGTACATCCTGTTTAATGTCTGAAGCTTTACTCTTTGTTTTACATTCTGTCGTTTGTATTTTGATAATCGCTTCATTTTGTAGTTCTTTAACTTTGTCAAATACAGCCTTGTTCTTGTTAATTACATCAGCTATAATGTGTATAATTCCATCTATAATTTGTTGCTCAGTCTTTAAACCTTCTTTGCTAGAATCGATAAGAGATGATAACGGTGGTAATGGTTGACCCTGTAATACAAGCTCACTTATTGGCCCCAAACCAATTTCTCTTGCTCTTTCTGCTAAGGATCTCTTCGATGCTGGCTTAAAATAAGAATATATATGTTCCAGATCATCTAAGCGTTTGCAGGAGACAACAAGCGAATATATATCAGGGGACCATTGCCCTAATTTGTCAATAGTCTTCAGTATAGTATTAGCTCGTTGTTTGATCACCTTGGCTTGATCAAGACTTTCTTTCAATGCTCTCAACATGTCTGGCTCCATTCCACCAGTCATGTTCCTCCTATACCTTGCGATAAATGGGATTGTGTTATCTTCTTCGAAAAGCTTTACAACATTTTGTGCTATGTGCTTGTCAACACCATTTGCTTCGCTAATATATTCGACGTCGGTCCATTCTTTGCATTCTACAGAATTCAAGTGTAACTGACTTATGTCCTTTGACTGTTGCTTAAAAGTCTTCTGAGCTTTTCTTATTTTACTATCAGCCTCTACCTTCGTCTCTGGAGATTCTTCTTTCACAATTTCACGTTTCGCTGCTACTTTCTTTATTTTTTTCTCTGCAGGTAATGAAAGCTCACTGCCTTTTCTTTTACTGCCTATTGTTAACATTTTTTTCGTTTTCTGCATTTCCTCAGGGACATAATTTTCATCGCTTGAGACATGCTCGTTCTCAGAGTCACTCGACAAGATTATTTGCTCTACTTTGGCAGCTTGTCGCACGCTTCTCTTCATGATACTACTTCTAAAGTATCTCGACAGAATAAGCATATGTTTAGTAACAGTCATACGTGAAAGAGGTTAATTACACGTTTCTCTTTCAGTCTATTATTTACGAAAAAGTGCAAAATAAAAAAGATATCAAATTTTTGTAAACTTACGTAAATAATAGCTATCGGCAGAACTTAATTAATTTCTAACCAAATTAATAATGCCGCTTGCAAAGCATTGAAAATGTGCCTTAATAAGTTTAGATTGCAGAAAATGGTTCTTCATTGATAATAATCTACATTTAATAAGAACCTTATTTAATAAGAACTTTAACGAGTATAACAACAACGTGTCGCGAAAGCGATACTCGGCTTCCAATGTCATAAATTGCAAATAAATTTGTCATCATTTCGGAAAGGCAAATGCAATGGCAGAAAAGTTTCGATCGTTCCTGAAAGTTTTAAGAATTGAAATAAACCGTCGATTATTAAATAATGCCGTTACAAGAATTAATAGTACCACTGAGAAAGCGCAAGGGACGTTGACTAATATTCAAAACGCTGTCGCTGCAAAGTACGACGTCTTCGCAAAGGTATTCTTCTCGAATCAGTAAGAATTAGTAATCGTAATATAGGATCGTAATACATAGAATAAAATTTATATTTCAGCAAATAAGAAAGGATATATCTTCAATTCAAAAGAATGTTTCGCAATTGGAACCAAGGCCGCTGCCAGAGAGAGTTGTCAAATGGTGGCAATGGTATCAACAATTGACAGGCTTGGATATCGTCGAATTATCCAGACGCCAAGTGATTTTAGCTCAAGATAAATTGTTCAAGTCTCAGGATGAGAGGAGACTCTTGAACCGCGAAGTCGCTTTAATTAATGACAAATTAAAGGAGGTGTATTCCGAGCTTATTCAAACGAAACGAGATGATCCAAAGTATGTCCAGCTAACGATACTAGAGAACAAGAGTCTTCAGGATCAAGCAAGAATTATGTCACACCTGAATTTATTAGATAGAGAGGAGAGAGATCATTTTACTCAGTTAGCAACTGCTATCAAGGAGTATCACGATAGTCAGACAATGAGTGCTCAGAAATATAAATATCTATCTATTCTTGCTTCCGCTGTGGTAGCAATTATATCATTGACTGGATCGATGATATACAATAATAGGAAAATAGCAATGATCAAAAACAGCATGCACTCACTGGAAACTGGTTTGAACGCCAGGTTTTCGGAAGTTCTTACAAAATTAGAGAATAATGGTGAACAAGATACACCTAGTGAAACAAATAATCCATCAAGATACTCCTACTCTTATAAACAGATAGGATTAGGTATCCTTGGTCTGTACACAGTAATTAAAGCGCTATTTTACAACAGTAGTCCTTAGTAACAGGCATTTATTTGTAAATCTTTTTCAAATAAACGTATAATATATTGTGCATATATGATTATATAATAAAACAAAGGGTATATTAATATCATATGAACGTACAACTGGAAATGTCGTGTAAAGAATTTGTTGTTACATAACACGCACAGTTGTTTGCATTTCGTGTAAGGAACAGAGATTAAAATTTTGTCAGAAAAATATGTACGTATATTTAATAAACTGGACGAGTACATTATTTCAGGAGGCAATCGTGTAACTAATTTTTTTTACCTTTAATAAATTATTTTATTAAAAATAAAATGTAAATAGTAAGCAATTTAAATACCATTCGCCTGAACTGCTTTATGTGTTCCAAGACTTCCATTCCATACCATCAGGCAGTTTTACCTCCACTTTAGCTTTGCTCACTTCTGACCAATTTGTGCTTAACACTGTACCACCAGATTCTTGCTGTTTCCCAAAATGATAATTATTACATAATTATCAAATTCGATTTTTATTAAAAGTAGAAATACTTACAAAAGATTTGTTCATTGCACGTCTAACTTCATCAGAACCACTGCCGTATATCTGTTGGAACAAAGCATTGAGAGCAGCTTCTCCCATTGGTTTCTCTTCAGCTTCTTGCTTCTCAATTTCTTTTTCTACTTTATTCCAATCTTTTGCTTTCCTTACAGGGGCGACAGGTTTCTCTGGTTGTTTACTAGCTTGTAAAATTTCTTAAGGAATTGCATTTACACTTTAATATCACTGCTTGGAAAATGTATTACTTTTAAACAAGTAATGGTATTTTACGTACCTCGAGGTATGGGCTGTACTGTGTTTTGTGCAACAGGGCTCCCTTCTAAACTAGTCCATGCAATCCCATCTTGTTTCTTTAACTTGATTTCAATTTTTGATGGATCTACTTTATGAGAACACTGATCTGGCACTATGTCGTGAGCTAAATCCAACTCCAAGCTGTACTCACTTCCTGATGGCAAGAGAGCTGATACGCTCAACTGAAGAACAAACAGAGAACTCGTAACATCAACGAAACAAAAAAAAAAACAACTTTCCTTTTACGTAAGCACGATTGATAAGGATCAAGGAAAAATGTGTAAAGCCTTCACGCATTTACCGTCTTTTTCCCATAAACGGTTTTGACGCTCGTCGCACTTTTCGCAAGAATCGGAACTATAACATGACTCTCTGTTTGATACCAGTCGTGCCTTATTTTGGGAACTGGCATCTGTAAAAATTGGAAACGTTAAAATTACCGTATATAAATCATTCCTCCCGATTCTACAATTCTTTTAATAGCACGACCCTTACTTCATTATTACTCGTCGTCTTCGGACTTTCTTCGCTAGCCATGCTCTTGTTTTCTCGGATAATTGTCAAACACAAATTATCGGGAGATTTGACACAAAAATCGTGTATACGTTACAATTCTCGAAAGTTCATATAAACTGACGCAGAGGATATCAGTAAATGCTATCAGTGCAGCCAAAGCTGATCAAGCTGGACGAAGTTTCGTACTAGAGATTTTATCTATTCTAAATTATGAACGAACACATTTTACATTGCCACTACTATTTCTACATACATGACTCGACAGTACGAATTAATACGCAATATTTTCATACGAGAAATTAGTTTTTTTATTCACAAACCGGATTAAACTCGCCTGAAAATCAGCCCTGCCATTGTCATATATTGTAGACCTTCGAAAGAATGGAATACTGTACCAAACATTCTGTCACAGCTGATTGTGAAAGAAGAATGTAAACAAAAACACGTAGTATATTAGATAGAGAATTATTATACATCGATAGAAGGAACATTTAATGGAACATTGTTGATGTAACACCAAATGGCTGAAGAAAGAAATATTCTTAATTTACGATTTAATCAGGATCAAGGTAACAATTATCGTCCACGCTATAAATCGCTCATTATTTGCATCTTTATCTTCTTCTGAATTGCAGGATGTTTTACCTGTTGCATGGAGTCTGGTCTTAGAGTGTACAATGTAGAACCATTAGTTGAGAAAGCACATTTGGAGAACGATGTAATTGGAGGTATAGGCATAGCTGAAATGCTGTGGAGAACAAATATTATTGCGATAGTGGGTGGTGGTACCAGACCAAAATATGCTGAGAACACAGTACTTATTTACGATGATCTTTCGAAGAAGTTCGTGATGGAAGTCACGTTCACCAGCCCTATTAAAGCTGTACGTTTACGTAGGGACAAGTAAGTTCATTGATACAATTTCATTTCTACTTCTAGCCAATATAAATGTTGCATTTACTTAGGAATAATTTTACAAAACAGAATGATAGTGGCATTACAACATGAAATACATGTCTTCTCCTTTCCTACTCCAACGAGAAGATTGTTAACTTTAGAAACCAGAGACAATCCAAAGGGATTGGTCGAGATTGCTACTTTGGCCACAGCGCAAAAGCAACTTCTTGCCTTTCCCGGTTTTAAACAGGGCAGCGTGCAATTAGTTGATTTAGCTGCTACAGAAGCTAGGAGCTCTAGCACTCCTGCAACTCTTGCAGCACATCAGGTACGCTCCATAAAGCTTTTAAACGAAAGTAGTATGTTTGTATTATCATGTGTAAATAACATTGTTAGGGAGCACTAGCTTGCCTGGCAGTTAACAGTACTGGAACTATGGTAGCAACTGCTTCTACGCAAGGTACTTTAGTTAGGGTATGGGATAGTATACGTAGAGATCTGCTACTGGAATTGAGAAGAGGTGCCGATTCCGCGACTCTCTATTGGTAAATGTAACTTCTATTCTACTGTGAAGCTCGATAAACGTATTACGAAGATACTATAATTTTCTTGCAGTATCACGTTTAGCAGAGACTCGGAATTTCTATGCGTCTCTAGTGATAAAGGGACAGTGCATATATTCGCATTGAAAGACACGCAATTAAACCGCAGATCAACGTACGTTACAATTTTACATGATTAAACGACGTATGAATTAATTAAATGATTTACATTACAGTTTTTCGAAAATGGGATTTTTGGGAAATTACGTCGAGAGCCAGTGGGCATTGGCCACGTTTACGGTACCACCGGAATGCGCTTGTATATGTGCATTTGGAACAAGGAGCTCTGTCATAGGTATTTAGCATGTAACAAACGTATTTAAAATTGTTTTAAATTTATTTTACATATGTACATTACTTCTAGCCATCTGTATGGATGGGACATTTCATAAATATGTTTTCACTGCTGATGGAAATTGCAATCGCGAGGCATTCGACGTCTTCCTAGATGTTTGTGATCACGACGACTTTTAACAAGAATTGTATATTATGTCCATAAACTGGTATGTCTGTAGGAGAGTTTCTAGTCATTTTAAATAAGAAACTTCTTACAGTTGATGTCTATAGCAATCTAATGATATTAATTACTGTAAAAAGAGCATAAGTCACTGAAATTACTGATTTTTTAAACATTAATATACTAGATGTCGTTCAGTCTATTTTGTATACATCAACATCTTAGCAATATATGTCCGATTATAATAAAAAATAATTTTATATGCCATGGCTTTTTATTCATCTACCTTTTTCTTAGGCATTTACATTTTTGCTTGTTTCTTCAGTAGACTTCTGTTTTTTCCTACTTTGGCTTGCCGCCACTTCCTCTCGAATTCGTACTGAAATCATCGCATTGAACAATACAATATTATCATTATTAGAATAGTCTGCACTTACGATATGGTTCTGGATTTATTATAGGTGATATTATTATGAAATAAGATGCTATGCCTATGATTCCTACGTATGTTCCTATGAATACTCCATATCGCCAACCCGTCAATCGCATTTTCTAATGTAACCTAAGATTTGCAACAAAGACAGTCGACAATTCAAATAATCATGATATAATAATATTTCATATTTCCGTTGTTTCGTATTATTTACGTGGAATAACAGAGGAAACTTGAAACCTTTACAAAAGTTCAATAGAAACAATTACATGTAATAATTAACTCCTCCTGCCACCTCCCGAATTGGCCACAATTGCCGCGTGGACCGTGGACCTCGTGGTTTCGGAAACAGGGAAAGTTTCTTTTCGACAAAGGACTTGCAAAGGCTTGCACCAGCTTGCACTGTCACTGGCTTGCACAGAAACGTCAGGTATGTTAGGTTTCACAGAATATCTATTTTAATCGCTTACAATTCTAAATTATATGAAAACATTGAAGAATTCATGTATGATTAGAACATTTTCAAATATTATGAGATGAATATTATTGACGTAGAACTAACCTAAATGAATGTCCGCCTCTCTTTTATTGTTATCATAAAGTTACGAATTATATCGTTAACGTTAGTATAAATATTTCCCGAAAATCATACTTTTTTGTGTGAGAATGGAAATGTTGAAATTATATGTCTGTATAAGAAGCGTGGCAGGGATTAATACCGTTGATAACCTATTCTTGTTCTGTATAACTTTTATTTAGAATCATAAACAATTATCCT